TATACATATATTATATTTAAGAACATTTTTCTATACGAGAAAAGCCATATATATTATAGTGGGAAAAGGATAACAAGCGTATTGCCAATAGCGCGCGACTGTAGGGTGTTGTTGTTTTATTTTTCTTACCCCTTTCGTCTGTCCACGGTTAAAACGGCCTAAAAACAACTCGCTATGTTAAATCTTCCTAGATCTTTGTACGGAGGTCTTAAAATTGGATCACCAACAGAATCTAAAATCCACTTAACGTCACTGCAAACTAAGGTTCCGATACGTTTACTTTGCTATTAGCCTGAAGTTGGTCTAAAAATGATATGCGATTTACAATTACGTGCGCATCAAGAAATGAACCAGATTTTTTTTACGCCGACAGACGAGGGTGAACACGTAATAGTTGGGAAATATAATATTGTATTATAAAATTATAGTGAAAAATTAATTGAGGAGTCCACTGAAAAACGGACATAGTCACAAACTGGAAATTGTGAGGGTGTCAATTTTAAAAGCTTGTGGACTCATAACTTTATATTCGTTTGACTGGTCGTTATTTTTATATGTTTGTTGGATGCGAAATCTAACAACAATAATCAACCAACGACTGAACAGAAATACAGTTATGAGTCAACATGTGTTCAAAATTGGTACTCTCACGATTTTCAGTTTCTGAGTATGCCCATTTTGTCAGTGGACTCCTCAATTGCTTCTGGATGCCGTTTAGCGCACGGCCAGTAGTTGATCCCACAGAGGACCAAACTGGCTTAATAAACCTTGACCTATATATTTTCTCCTGTTTTGTGTGCTCCTGTCCTATCAAACATCTACAATCCTTATCTCTCCTGCTTCTTTCATTTGTACTTTCTCTCTTGTGGCACCTCAAATCTCCGGTACTTATATGACCCCATTTGTGTTGCAAGTGCCGTAAAACTCGGAGTAAGACTAAGAGAGAGAAAGAATAACTTCCGTACAACGTATAGCGCACGACGAGGCCTTGCTGGTAGATCCCACCAGAAGGCCATGGTTATGGAGTGACTTCACAAACCTTGCCGCATAATTATGTGCCCCGCCTGACTGACCCTAGGCCCCTGCCGTGTGTCACAGTGGATCAGTGTGACGTGTTCAATGTCCGCAACGAAATGTGTCACGACACGGTGAAATCAAGCGCTTGTCGGTTTTTAGTTAGTTTAGTTTTAGTAGAGGTTTTACGGCGCTCGCAACAGCATTAGGTCATATGAGCGCCAGAAGATTAGAGCTGTTACAAGTGAGTAACAAACATAAAAAAGACGAAGGGACGATAAGGACGATAGATGTCTGAGAGGAAAGAAGAAGCAATCCACACCAGCGTACCCGCCAACAACCCACTTTTTCTGTTTTTGGTATTATTAATGATAATGTGGAGTTATTGGTATCATCTTATACTTAAAGCTGTTTATTTAACTTGCTTTTGGGAGAAATACCCACCCATCTTGAAAAAAAAAGTCGAGATTATGTTCTATTTGCGATTAAAGAAGGTTGGGGTCGTTTGGTGTCAGAAGTAAAATTGGCGAGAAAATGGCGATTTAAGTTTATTGGTGACTCCCAGAGCTTGGGCGTCCTTTTGGAAACTCTAAATTTACACTTTTTGTGTCTTTCTTCGACGTTTTTCAGTAAGATCCACACAGACCTGTGTTCTTAAATAGACTTAAATTGTTCTGAGAAAAAAAAATCGATAAAACTTGCCGAACGGGTGGGAATAAAGTGGTTGAGGTTTCTTCGGTTGAACTTTTGTTACGAGCGCCTGATTTCACCGCGATGCCTCACAAATGACCCGGTCAGCGTGGACAGACTTGTTGTTTCTGACTTCTGAGCCTTGACCACACAGTCAGGTTCTGTGGTTGTGTTTGTGTGTGTGTGTGTGTGTGTGTGTATGTGTGTGTGTGTGTGTGTGTGTGTGTGTGTGTGTG